CTTTTCCTTTTGTTGGTCCATATACTTACTGAGCTAAAATCAGAGTCAGAACTGCTGTTAGGATAGCACAGGGCCACAGAAATGAAGTGGCCAGAATGAGCTACAGGAAAAATGAGACAGGTCAGAAGACAATAAAGGGAGTGCCAGAGAGAAGGCCTACAGAATGGGGCAGGCTGGGGGATATAGGCAGAAGGAACTAACTGTGGAGTCTTGAGAGTGTGACTGAGACCCCTTAGTTTAAGAGTTGACTTTCTGTGGACACTGAACAATGCTGAGGATCAGAGATGATTCCAGGGTCAGAAAATGGGCTAAGGGCCAGGCATGGTGGTGCATGCCTGTAATCCCAGCACTCAGGAGGATGAGGCAGGATTGCCGTGAGTTTGAGGTCAGCCTGGGCTTCCTGGCAAGATCCTGTATCAAAAAAGAAAAAAAAGGAAGAAAAAAAAAAAAGAAAAGAAAATGGGGTTTAGGCAGAGTGGGAGTGTTATGAAGATTTAAGCCAAGGAGGCATAGATTTGGGGCTGGGACGGACATCTCAGACTGGGAAGCACAGACTACTTTAGACACCATTCTGGGGCATAAAATAATCACACAGATGCAGATTGGCTGGATCCTGGCCACTTCTATCAGCCCTCTCTTTTCCTTTTTTCCCCTGCCTCCTCTAAAATATGGACTTGGTTCAGACTAATCAGGGAGGCAGGGGTCCTAGGTAGTTTCCTGGGTCTAGAGTTGGTACAGCAATGGAAATACACCTGTTGCTACTGGATGGAACTGGAGGAGGTACAGACTGGAGGGAGTACAGTCAAGGAGTATGTGAGGTTCAGGCTACATGTCCAGGTGAACTGTCTACTGCAAGGACTCAGCCTTAGGGTAGAAGCTAGGAAGAAAGGGAACACAAACTCGGAAGAAACTGGAAAGGCACCATGGGGAAGCAGAAAGCAAGACTGGCAGAAAGATCAAAGATGGGCAAAAGAAAGAGCCCAAAATAGGCATGCAGGCCAATAAGGTTTAAGTAAAATGATCTCACCTCCTTCAGTCAGTGCCTTGCCTAATCCAACCAGTGTGTCAGATATGTGTCCAGCTGTTGGGAAGTGAGCCAGTGAGAAGACTTAGGGAGAAGACTGGCTTTTAGATTTCAGCCAGGGACATAAGAAGTTGGGGAAGGAGAGTTGGTGTTTTTTTTTGCTTTTTAAAAAAAATATTTTATTTAGCCGGGCGTGGTGGCGCACGCCTGTAGTCCCAGCACTTGGGAGACAGAGGCAGGTAGATCTCTGTGAGTCGAAGGCCAGCCTGGTCTACATAGTGAGTTCCAGGACACCTGGGGCTACAGGGAGACCCTGCTTCAAAAAGACAAAAAAATTGTTATTATTATTTTTATTTTATGTGTATGCATGTATTGCCTGCATGTAGGTAAATGCACCCTTGTCGTGCAATGCCTATGGAGGACAGAAGAGACTGTCAGATCCCCTGGAACTGGAGTTATAGATAGTTGTTGGCTGCCATGTGGGTGCTGGGATTCAAACCCAGGTCTTCTGCAAGAATAGTCAGTGTTCTTAACCGCTGAGCCATCTCCAGCCCCCATTCTTTGCTCTTTTTAAAAAAATATTTTACAGCCAGGAGTGGTGGCACATACCTTTAATCCCAGCACTCGGGAGGCAGAGGCAGGTGGATCTCTGTGAGTTCAAGGCCATCCTGGTCTACATAGTGAGTTCCAGGACAGCTGGGGCTACAGGGAGACCCTGTCTCAACAAGACCAAAAAAAAAAAAAAAGACCCCCCCCCCAGTTTTTTTTACTTATTTTTATTTTATGTAAGTGTATTGCCTGCATGTGTGTAACTGCACCTGTATCATGCAATGTCTGCTGAGTTAGAAGAAGGCGTTGGATTCCCCTGGAACTGGAGTTATGGGTGGTTCTTAGCCACCATGTGGATGCTGGGAATTGAACTCAGGTCTTCTGCAAGAGCAGCCAGTGCTCTTAACCTCTGAGCCATCTCTCCAGCCCCTCTTTGCTTTTTTTTTTTTTAACCTTTTTTAAAATTTATTTTTATTTTATGTGTATGAGTGTTATGCCTGCATATATGTAAGTGCATTCAAGTTGTGCAGTGCCCTCAGAAGCCAGAAGAGGGCTTGGATCCTGTAGAACTGGATTTATGGATGCTTGTTACTGGTCATGTGGGTGCTGGGATTTGAACTCAGGTGTTCTGTAAGAGCAGCCAAACAGTGAGCCATTTCTCTAGCCCTGTTTCTCTGTTTTTGTTGGAGTTATTATTTGACCTTTTTTGGTGGGGGAGACAGGGTCTTACTATGTAACCTTGGCTGACCTGAACCTATGTAGACCAGGCTGGCCTTGAACTCACAAACATCTGCCTGACTCTGCTTGAGTGCTAGGATTAAAGGCTTGTACTACCACACCTGGGGTTTATTTATTTATTTATTTATTTATTTAGTTAGTTAGTTAGTTAGTTAGTTAGTTAGTTAGTTATTTGAGACAGGATCTTGCTATATAGTCCTGGTTGGGTTGGTCTATGTAGCCCAGGCTGGCCTCCTGCCTCAGCCTCTCAAGTGCTGGGATCAAAGGTGTTTTTAATTTTTTGATATATTTATTTTTATTTTATACATACAAGTGTTTTCCCTGCATGTATATAAGTGTACCCATGTCATGCAATGCCCGCAGAGACCAGAAGAAGGTGTTGGTTCCTCTGGAACTGGAGTTATGAACAGTTGTTAGCCACCATGTGGGTGCTGGGAACCAAACCCAGATCCTCTGCAAGAGCAGACAGTGCTCTTAACCACTGACCCATCTCTCCAGCTTCGAATCAAAGGTATGTTTGCATACATGTGTTTTTTGTGTGTGTGTGCACATGTGTATGTGTATGTTCATATGTGTGCAGGTTTGTGTGTGCAGGTGCACATGCATATGTGTGCATGTGGTCTCGTATTATTCCTTAGATGCTCTCCACTTTGTTTTTTGGTGGAGGGCTCTCATTGGTCTGGAATTACCTAGTAGGCTAGGTCAGCGGGCCACCAAGCCCTACGGATCTGCCTGTCTCTGCCCCACAAGCACTGAGATGCCACACCTAGCTTTCTTCATGTGGGTTCTTGGGGATGGAACTCAGGTTTTCTGGCTTGCAAGGCATTTTACCGACAGAGCCACCTTCCCAGCCTCAGGTATTTGTTTTAGAAGATAATTTTACCATAATCTCGGAAAACTGAGGATCTTGCCTGTCAGGGAAACCTATAACTGGGCGGGCAGAGACACAAAGCTATGGTTGAATCTCAGCTTAAGATACAGGTGGGGAGCTGGGTGTGGTGGTGTGCGCCTTTAATCCCTGCACTCAGGAGGCAGAGGCAGGTGGATCTCTCTGAGACTGAGGCCAGCCTGGTCTACAATAGTGAGTTCCAGGCCAGCTGAGGTTACAAAAAGACCCTGTCTCAAAACAAACAAACAAAAAAAGATACAGGTTACGACAGGCCTATAAATAATCTCAGCTACTCTGGAGGCTGAAGCAGGAAGATCTCAAGTTTAAGGCCTACTTGGGCTACAGAATGAGTTCAAGGTATGTCTGGGTAACTTGGTAAGAATCTATTTCAAAATTTTAAAAAATGGGCTGGGGATATAGCTCAGTGGCAGAATGTCACCTAGCATGTGTGTACCCTAAGATCAATCCCCAGTACCCCACATTTTTCAAAGAAAGGAAAGAAGGAAGGGAGGGAGAGGGAGAGAAAGAACAGGTCTTGGTAGCCATCTATTCTATGTCTTCCTGCCCATACTTCCTCAAGTGGTTCCTCTGCAGACTAAGGGTTGGGATCAAAAGCAAAGAGCCCTAGTATGCTCCCAGTCCCCAGAATCACATGTCCACTCCCATTGATGCCTTGGTCACTCTCTGCAGCCTCTTTTCTTGGCTAATGGGGAGCAAACTCCTGTGTAGAAACCAAATGCAAAAGTAACAGCTATCCTTCCCACCTGCAGCCCAGCCCTAGGGGACACAGATCCTGTTTCTGCCCCACCCAGCTGAGCTAGGAGTAGAAATCTGTCTGCATTTCCTCCTACAACTGAAACTAGTCAGCCTTGATCTGGGCCTCTTCATCCTTCACTTGGTCCTGTGGGGACAGAGCTAAGATGTTCAGTAACCTGACTTGGCTGAGTTTCTGAAAGGAAGATATCAAGGAGGCTCAGGAATCTGTTTTTCTCACTTTTCCCCATTTCATACCCACCCACCTTCTAAGGCTGGGCAGCTTCTGTCCTGGATATTATCGGGAGAAACTCCCTGCCCTTAATTTTGAGTTCCCCAATACCTCAGTTTCAACGAGTTGTATGATCCTAATGAGGCAAGATGAAAGAATTCTTCCTCGGTCTCAGGAAAGTCGTCTAAGATCTGCCCAAGGTATTTTCCTCACCCACTCTCTAACTCATCTCCCTTTCCCCCACGTCTCTTTTCTCTCACCTCCCGGTTTTGGTCTCTTCTCCCCCTCCCCCTTCTCTCCGCCCTTTCTCCCCTTGGAAACTGGATTCTACTACCCTCTAGTGTTAGAACCGAAAGGACTCCCACCCAACCTGTACCTCTTAAACAAGAACGCTGAAGAGGCCTACCCTGAGTCAGGACAATAGTTGAGACTAGAGACCAATTCTGTGACACCCAAGCTACTTAGTCCATTTTCATTTCCTCGACCTCTGGCTCTTTCCTTCCTACCTCATCCCTAGGGATGATTCCAAGTTGGGAACATTGCAGCCAGAAAACTGACCCGGTCCCTCCCCGCCCCACTGCAACACCTGCATCTCAGATGTAATCCCAGGCCAGTTTGCTAACGGGTTCTTAGAACTGTCCGTTCCCAGCCTTTCTGAGCTCAATTCTTTCAGGTTTTTAATTGGTCACCCACACCTTGACGCCCTGTCTCCACGACTGCTTTGCGACTAGCAGTTTGCAGCAGTCAGTCGTACCGGAGCGGCTACAGTGGTTGCTGGGCGACAGACACAGCAAAGGCGGTGGCTTGAGGTGGGGACCTGGGCTGGTGTCTTCGGGAAGGGGGGGCGGGGTTCCCAAGAAAGCCAGCCCATGGTTCGATGAAGTGTGAACGGGTGCGACCCAAAGAGACCCCGCTGCCCTCCCCTCGCCTGGGCCATGGCAGGGACGATGTCCCCGGGTCGGGCACCAGGCTCGACCTGGGCCTGGCGGCCAGTGGCGCAGGACGCACTTCTGGCTCGTGCCTTCCATTCATGCACGGAACTGCAGGGCCGGTTCTATCTGGTAGGGGGTCTCCTAGCAGGTGGTGCTAGGGTGCCCAGCAGTGATACTGTGATCTTTGACCCGGCTAGGGGCCAGACCGTGCTACTGGCAGCCCAGGGCGGGCCCCCGCGCAGTCACCACGACGCGGCGCCAGTGGGAGGGCGTTGGCTCTGCGTGGTGGGTGGCTGGGATGGGTCCCGTCGCTTGGCCTCAATAGCCGCGCTGGACACAGAGCAAGGAGTGTGGGAGGCGTGGACTGCGACCCCTGGCAACTGCCCCCCTGCTGGCCTCAGTAGTCACACCTGCACTCGCCTCTCGGACCAAGAGCTCCGGGTGTCTGGACGGGAAGGCGGTATCCGCACCCAGCGACGCTTTGGAAGCATCTACACGTTAAAGTTGGACCACAACACCCGCACTTACTGGTATGGCAACCCCTGCCCCAAACCTTTCAATCGTTTTTCATTTATACTCTAGACAAAAAAAAAAAAAAAACTAAACAAATTTCCAGGCAATGAGTGTATCCCTGTCCTTACTCCAGCACCTTCCATCCAGGAGCAATTGATAATGTGGAGGAAACAACTCTCACCACCCCAAGCCTGATTTGTCCCTTTAACAAGAACAGCCTGTTAAAGTACAGCACTTAATTGTTCAGAAAACCCCACTTAGGCCCCAATTTCTGTCTACCAACAAACAGCTACGAGGAAGAAAGCTGCCATACGGTCTCCCGCTCAGGTCACTGCGCTGCCCTGCTGCCAACCCCTGGACCCCACCCAGGTCATCGGTTATTGCTCTTTGGGGGCTGCAACTCAGTTGAACCAGAAGTAGCAGGGCAGTGGAGCCATGGCAAAATTAAGGTATTACCTTCTCACAGCTTGCTTAGCATGGAAAAGAGCTAAAACGTGATGAACAAATGCCTTCAGACAGTTCCCTTTTATTCCCGAAAGGAGGAACCACCTATGACCCCTTGTTTGATGGAGCAGCTTGCAAGGCTTGTGAGCAGTGGGCAGGGGTCCCACCAGGGTCCTCCAGGTCTGCGACATCATTCCTGTTCTGTGGTGGGGCCCTTCGCTGTACTGTTTGGTGGAGAAACTCTGACCAGAGCTCGAGACACCATCTGCAATGACCTCTACATCTATGACACCAGTGAGAACCAAGCTGTTTGATGGAGGGGAAGAGGGGAAACAGGAACCTAAAACCTACAAAAAGATGGAGTGATGGGACAGAGGAGGAATAATTAGGTGACAAGAGTTAAAGAAATCCATATATTTGGATGGGAAAAGGAAGGGTGAGGGCAGGTTAACCCAAACTAAGGATGTATGAAACCCTACTAGTTTGTAAGCTAATTAAAAATACAATTTAGCTGGGCGTGGCGGCGCATGCCTTTAATCCCAGCACTCGGGAGGCAGAGGCAGGAGGATCTCTGAGTTCCAGGACAGCTCGGGCTACAGGGAGACCTGTCTCAAAAAGACCAAAAACAACAACAACAAAACCCCGAAAGATATATATATATATCTTTATATATTATATATATTTATATTTTGTATAAAATTTAAGCTGGGTATGGTGGCACACATCTTTAATGCCAGCACCCAGGAGGCAGAACTGGCAGCTCTCTATGAGTGTGAGTCCAGTTTGGTCTACACAGTGAGTTCCAGGCCATCCAGAGATAGGTAGTGAGAACCTGTCTCCAAAAAGAGAAAAAAAATATGTATATACACATATGTAACTTTAAAAAAAATAAAATACGCCAGGCATGGTGGTGCACATGCCTTTAATCCCAGCACTTGGGAGGCAGAGGCAGGTGGATCTTGTGAGTTCGAGGCCAGCCAGGTCTACATAGCGAGTTCCAGGACAGCTGGGGCTACAGGGAGACCCTTTCTCAAAAAGACCAAAAAATAAATAAAATACATAGAATATTGAATGTAAAGGCCCAAAAATAAAATGAAGAGAAAAAAAACAGGCAAGCATTTGATCATGTTGAAGCAGAGTTAACAAAGTATTCCTGCCTCAGTAATGACCCTTTGCCCCCACCCAACAGGCAAGTCTCCTCCTCTGTGGTTCCACTTCCCCTGTGCAGACCGTGGACTGAAACGTGTGGGCCATCGAACTTGCCTTTGGAATGATCAGCTTTACCTGGTTGGGGGTTTTGGTGAGGATGGCAGGACAGCTAGCCCACAGGTTTGTATCCTGGAACTCTTCATCTAAAGAACAGTACAAGGACATTTGGCCAAACCTTTGTTTTGTTGCAAACCCATACAGCGTATCATCAGAACTATTGCCTTACTTCAAATACTTATTAAATTTCAATATGACAGTCAACATTTTGTCTCTGAGTCTTTTTTAGAAGGGCAGTAAATAAATAGACATCTTTATTTCCAAGGGAAAGGACAAAGTATGGGTCCTTTTGGATACTGTGAGTCACTGACCAGGTGAAAACAAAAACCACGGATCATATGCTGTTTTTTGCCCTTAAACAATTTCTACCCCTAGATGGGAGAAAGTTTCAGTCTACAGCTAAACATTCTGACCAAAACATTTAATTAACAAAAAATATTACAATAGCAGAGAAAATAAAAATAACAATAAGAGAAATTAGAAGTGGGAATCAGGGTTTTAAAAAAAAAATGCAGAGGCTTGGTCCTAAGAGACCAACACTCCCGCTGAGTTGGCCTTAGCCCCAGCTCCTTCTGAGTTTTCCTTGGCTGCTGGTTTCTCATCTTCCCCCATAAGACGAATGTTGTGCTTTTCCCGGAATTCATTTAATTCTTTTCCCTTTGCTTGAAGCTGCTGTGACAGTGTCTCGATGATCTTCTGTATCTAGAAGGCAAGGAACAGGGTTTATATAAAAAATGCAAGTCTCCTTTCTCCCACCTGGAATGGACTCTGGTTAGGGGAAGTGAAACAGATGGCACTTGAAAAAACTTTTTTAAAATTTATTTTTATTTTATATGTGTGAGTGTTCTGCCTGCATGTATTTAAGTACATTAAATGTGTATAATGCTTTCAGAGGCCAGAAGAGGGCATTGGATCCCCTGGAACTGGAGTTACACACCTCTGTTAACCACTTTGTCGGTGCTGGGAATGCAACTGCTCTGCAAAAGCAGCCAGTGCTCGTAATCACTGAGCCAGCCCTCCAGCTCCACAGATGGCACTTTTAACCTCACCTTTAGCCAAGTATTAATAGTAGAGCCGAGACACTCAAATTCTCTCAAACATAGTGCCATAGAATTATCTGGGCTGCCTTTTTTGGTTAATTTATTCTTTGACAATTTCATACATGTATTTAATACATTCTGATCACACTCCCATTCTCTCTTATCCACGTCTCACCCCCACTAATCCTCCCTCAACAAGTCCCTAACTCACTATCATGTTCTTGTTTTGTGACCCATTGAGTTTAACCAAGGTTGTTCTTGTAGGCATGGGTGTCCACTGGAACGTGGGCAGCTCACCAGTGGTGACAACACTTAAGACAATGACTGCTCTCCCAGCAGTCTTCAGCTGTCAACAGCTCCCTGGGGAGGGTGGGCTGCTATTTTTAAAATGTCACTTATGATATTCTGGTTCTTCCCTTCAAGTCATATAAGTCATTTATTTATTTATAGCTAAGCAAGACTGGCTTCAAACTCAAAATTTCCCTGCCTTGGGGCTGGAGAGATGGCTCAGCAGTTAGAGTAGTTACTGCTCTTCCAGGAGACTCTGGGTTGCTTCTCAGAGAGCACCCACATGGAGGTTAACACCCCTTCTTAACTGTATTCTGAGGGGATCCAATACCCTCTCCTGGCTTTACCAGGGCACACATGCACTTACATACATGTAGGCAAAACACTGATATGAATAGAGTAGAATTTAGAATAGAATAGAATAGAATAGAATAGAATAGAATAGAATAGAATAGAATAGAACAGAACAGAACAGAACCAGAATACTTTTTTCGGTCTTTTTGAGACAAGGTCTCCCTGTAGCCTCAGCTGGCCTATAGCTCACTATGTAGCCCAGGCTGGCCTTGAACTCACAGAGATCTGCCTGCCTCTGCCTCGTAGGTGCTGGAATTAAAGGTGCACACTACCATACCTAGTAATAAAACAAAATCTTTAAAAAGAAAAAAACCCCTGTTGCATCATCTTCAGCAAGTTGATTAGCAAAGTAAGCCACCACAGTCAGTATGATTTTGCCTTTTAAAATGTCACTTATAGGGGGCTGGAGAGGTGACTCAGCAGTTTGGTTCCTAGCACCCACATAGCTCCTAACAACCATCCTTAGCTCCAGTTCTAGGGGATCTGACATCCTCTTCTGGCCTCTGAGGGCACTGCACTCATGTGGCAAACTTGTATTCATGTGGACAAAACATTCATATACATAAAAATAGGTTTAAGATGTATATGGTGGCACACACCTTTAATCCCAGCACTCAGGAGGCAGAAGCAGGTGGAGCTCTATAAGTTCATGGCTAGCTTGGTCTATATATTGAGTTCCAGGCCAGCTAGGGCTACACAGGGAGACCCTGTCTCAAGAAAAACTTAAAAAGGGGGTACTGGAACCCCTGGAACTGGAGTTACAGGTGGTTTCAAGCCACCTGATGGGGGTATGGAAACCAAACCTAGGTCCTCTACAAGAATAGCAAGTGCTCTTATCTGCTGAGCTATCTCTCTAGTCCCCACTTATGGCATTTTTAAGGTTCTGGATTTTAAAATTCTCTCTTCTGGGCTCCAGAGAGAGCCCAAGAAGTTGCATTTTAAACTAGTTCTTGGCTGGAGTTATGGTTCAATGGTAGAGTACTTAAACAGTATACAAAAGGCCATAGGTTTGATCCTTAGCACAGCTAAACTAGTTCTTTAGGTGATTCTGATGGAGGCATCCATGGACTACACTGTGAAACACTGTGCTATCTGCCCCACCTCCAACTCAACACCATCAAAGAGCTATGAAAAGGGCACATAGCCAGCAACTCCTCGTTTAAGGAGCTGGATTTAGCAACAGTATAAAGGGCATAGGCTAACAGGCTATATTATCTTCAACATGACTTTCTACCCAGACTTTGCTCCCTCTCATTCCCTAAATCCTGGCCACCCCTAGTTAACCCCTTGGTTGCCCACAGCATCCACGGAGGAATTCTTGCTCACCTGTTCCTTGTTATTCTCCAAGGCAGGCAGCACTTCTTTGACAGTCCGCTCTACCAGCACACCTCCAACCATGCGGTAGCACTTGCGGGTTTCATCAACCTCTTTCAATGTATCGATCACAAGGCTAGAGTAGAAGGACAAGACAAGTCCTCAAAATTCAGTCCCACTCTACTGCAGCCCCCCACCTCACAAAATGGCCCATCCAATTATTATTCTGTTGTTTCTCTGACTTTCTCACCTGTGCTCATTCAACTCCATCTCCAGCTCAGCTGCTTTGGATGCCAGACCCCGCTGTTCCTGCCGAAGGCGATTAAAGCCAGCAATTACCTAAGAGGGCGTGAGAGAGATGAGAAATGAGACAGTGGAAATGACAGAAAATGAAGATGGCACCTAAGATGGCAAGTTTTAGGAAGACGCAGTAGTGGATTATAAGTAGTACCTTATAAAAGAGAAAAAATACAAGCTCGTCATTTCTTAGCCTGTATGGAATTCCATTTCACAGGAGGTACTGAGTGCCTACATATATGAGACATTTGCTAGGCATGAGGGGACTAAGCAATAGATTTGAGTATGTATGTAGAACTGCTGAAGTACCTACTTAAGCAGGACTGTCAGAAAGAGCTTTTTTGGTCTCTTAAAAAGATTTTAAAAGCCGGGTATAGTGGTCCACACTTTACTCTTATGGGGATCGCCACAAGATGGAGGCCAGTCTTCTAAAGGGAATGTTGGATTCCCTGGACCTGGATTTACAGGTGATAAGCCACCTGAAGTGGGTACTGAGAACCAAATTTTGGTCCTCTGGAAGAGAAGCAGGCACTTAATTGGCTGATAAATCTCTCTAGTCCCCCTTAAAGCAGATTTTTTTCATTTTCTTTTTTATTTTCCTTTTCTTTCTTTCTTTTTTTTTTTTTTTTTTTTTTTTTTTTTTGGCCTTTTTGAGACAGGCTGTAGTCCCAGCTGGCCTGGAACTTACTTCGTAGACCAGACTGGCCTTGAACTCACAGAGATCTGCCTGCCTCTGCCTCCCAAGTGCTGGGACTAAAGGCGAGCGCCACCACACCCGGCTTTTGCTTTTCTTTTTTGGTCTTTTTTTTTTTTTTTTTTTTGGAGACAGGGTCTCCCTGTAGCCCCAGCTGGCCTGGAACTCTCAGAGAGTCACCTGCCTCTGCCTCTCAAGTGCTGGGACTAAAGGTATGCGCCACCACGCCCAGCTTAAATATTTTTAAAAATTTGTGCATGTGTGTGTGCGCGCAGTTGCCCACAGGTGTCAGATCCTCTGGCGCTAGTTACAGCAGGTGGTTGTGAGCCACCTCACATGGGTCCTAGGAACCAAACCTGGGTCTGCGGGAAGATTGCTATGTGCTCTTAACCACTAAGGCATTTCTCCAATCCACCCCCCCACTTTTTTTTTTTTAAGATTTAAAAAAAAATTTTCTGTGTGTTTGGGGGAAGGGGGTGACCTTGGAGGCCAGAAGAGGGCTTTGGATTCCCCTGGAACTGGAGTTAAAGGCAGCTATGAGCTGCCTGATGTGAGTACTGGGAATCAAACTCCAGAGAGGACAACTTTTGGGGGTCAGTTCTCTCTTCTGTAGGTTCCTGGGATCATACTCAGGTTGTCAGGATTGCACACAAGTACTTTTATCCACTGAGCCACAAAGAGCTTTTTAATAAATGGCTCAGGACTGGATCTGCCTGCCTACACGAGAGCAGCCTTAGCATCCAAGAGGATATAGGGTTCAATCCCTAGCATCAACACCAAAAAAAAGTAAATTCTTATTTGGTAGGCATTGTGGAACTTCCCCTCCTTAACTTAATGGGGTTCTTGTGGGGCCAGTAACCACAAGACCTCTGCCCCTTGACCATAGGGCAAGTGACCTATGCCAGACTTTTTTCAGAGATTGAGTTTGGGGTGGAGGAAGTTGGAACTAAGATACCTATAAAGAGAGATAACCTTCCATTCCTATTCCTGGGTTTACCAAAGCTGTACAAGTTCCTGAACTTTAGACTAATGAGTCCTTTTGTGCTCAGTTCTACAAAGTACCCACTGTTCTTCAAAAACACTTATTAAGCTCGGTGTGGTGGGGCAGGTCTTTAATCCCAGCACTCAGAGGAGACAAAGGCAGACAGGTCTCTGTGAGTTTGAAGATAGCCTGGTCCTCATAGTGAGTTCCAGGCCAGCCTGGGCTACATGGTGAGTCCTCAACTACAACAACACAGGCAAGGTGGCTCACACCTGTGATCCCAGCACTCCAGAGATCATAGCAAATTCAAGGCTAGTAAGGGCTACACAGTGATGCCTTGCTTCAAAAAACAAACATGTACACACTCCTTTAAAAAAAAAAAATAGGGGGTTGGATAGATGGCTCAGTGGTTAAGAGCACTAGCTACTCTTGCAGAGGTCCCAGGTTCAGTTTCCAGCACCCACATGGTGGCTAACAACCACCTGTTAATTCCAGTTTCAGGAAATCTGATGCCCTCTTCTGGCCTCCAAGGCATTGCACATATATGGTGCACTTGCATCCATGCAGGCAAAACACTGCATTTCTTTAAAAGAAATTTTTTTTAAAAGAAATTTTTTTAAAAGAAAACCTGAAAGAGAAGAACAGTAGGAAATAGGCGTTAATAAGGGAGACATGGCAAATATTGGGTTAGTTTAAGGGAGGGGGGGAGGGAAGGGGGAAGGGAAAAATTGGGTTAGTTTAAGGGAAGGGGGGAGGGAAGGAACCTAGGGGATAAAGGGAAAGAAGGAGCTCAAGAGAGGTAAGGACCATAGGAGAAGGGTATTATTAAGGGAGAAAGGGGGAAAATGGGGGCACCTTAATTGGGGAAACCATGATGGAGGGGTGAGACAATGTGAGAGATAAATAATGCCTAGCTAGTTTTAAAAACCAGAGGGAACCATATTACTCCAACAACATACTGACAAATTATACATAGCAGATCAAGAAATATATGCCTAGGTAAGGTTTATCTGCGAACAATTGGTCTTTGCCCAAGATTTATCTACATGACATATAGTAATTAAAAGTACCAGACCTAAGTTACTCCATTTTGTTCAGAGCCATTTTAGCAGCAACTTTGCTCCACACCAAAAGGAAAAGGGGGGAAACCTTAGGCCTTGGAAAATTGTCCTTGCCATGAACCATGGAATGTGCTAATTCCAGACATTTTACATCTGGCTAACTGCTTGTTTTAGCTTCTGTAACTCGCTTGCTCTTCTAGGTCACCTTGACACAAAGTGTAAGACCACCCTGTTATTGTATGACCACCCAGTAACTGCTGATTCCGGCTTTCTTACTATACTTGTTATGGCTAGGGAGTTGACTAATTTTAAAATTACGAAGTTGATTGCCAAGTTATATGACTGTATCACTTGTCTGTATAATGATTGGTTGTTGATTAATAGATTAAAAGTCCTGCTATTTTGTACAAACCTGATTGGTTCACAAGTGTCCTGTTTGAATAATATTTCTGTAATCCTATAAACTCAGACCCGACAATCATCAGGGCTGCTTCTACTCCCGAGATAGACAGCCCGGCTGGTCGAAAAATAAAATTTAGCTTGCTACTTAAAGTGATGTTGGTGATTTTTTGCAAACTCCGTCCTATAACCACACACAGTAATTAAAAGTACCAGACTGGTGGAACTAACCTTCTTGGATGTTTAACAGACATACTTTGAGGCCTACAATAATTTGGTCAGAGGGTCATAAAGGACAGTTAGGAACTAAGAGCACCTCTCAAAATGTCCTGTAATGATGGTGGGTCACCTGTACACTTGATCAAGGAGGCCGAGGAGACCCTACCATATGGAAATGAACCAGTGTCCAGTCTACAAAGAGGAGGTTCAACACAGAGGAGTCATTTCCTCCATGCTTCCAAGCGAAGCCAACCATGGTTGAGTGGGACCTTTGACTTATCTTCACATAAGCAGAACTGGTAAAAGAAAGGATCCAGGGGCTCTTCCCAAGCCCATGTGACCCCTGAGGAACAGATCCTCAAATGACCTTAAGACTAGAAATAAATTGGTTTATCTGGGCCAACTCTATGGCCTTAAACACCCAAAAGGAAAGTATAATGAAAGATTAAAGGGCCCAATATAATTTTTTTAAGAGTCCATATGTATAGCTGAAGGCTACATAACAAGCAACAATGTCAGATAGGAGATACCTTCTTTTGAGCTGTTGGCCAGGGTGGCCAAAGGGACTCCCAGATAGTAACCCAGCATAGAACTGGGAAAATGAACAGCAGACCCCAATCTTATCTAAAGGAATATTGACAACTGATTGCTGCTAGATGAGGAACAGCTAACTCTCCTAAAACAAAGCCCTCTAGACAGGCTGACTAGATTCACCAGATAGACAAGTAGTGGGGAATGGCTGGGGGTGCCAACAATACAGCAGACAGCAGTACACAGCAGACAGTAGCAGGGATATCAGAGTATAAGGGCTCTAGTTGGGGGAGGGAGGCTATGGGATGGTGCCATCTGGGAAGTGGGTGTATAGTTGAATAAGATGGTTTGGGATGTTCTGTGTGCTATACAGACATGCAAAAAAAATCAGGAAATTTTAAAAAGTGTGTTTTATTTAAGAACGAAGCATGGAAATTTGCTACATGTTAATTGGTAGAGGTGATAAACATTACCATTGAAATCTACCTGATTTTATAGACATACACAGGCGGCCAAGGATCCAAGTGCAACCAATTATGACTAGTAATAATCAGATACATAAAGATTAGAGATGCATGCACCAACATCTCAGTGTTAGCAGCAAAAACAACGAGTCTTTCTGCAAGGAACAATATATTCTAAAATGAAATGGAGATCTTTTTTAAAGGTTTAAAACTCATACAAGCCGGGTGCGGTGGCGCACGCCTCTAATCCCAGCACTTGGGAGGCAGATCTTTGTGAGTTCGAGGCCAGCCTGGTCTACATAGTGAGTTCCAGGATAGCTGGGGCTACAGGGAGACCCTGCCTCAAAAAAACAAAACAAAACAAACAAACAAAAAAACACAAACCTCATACAATTCTATGTCTTACAGGGCTTATACTGAGTTCAGTATTGTATAACTGTATTAATTCAACTGTGAACCTAGAAACTTACAGCCACTTGTGAAAGAGATGTACTCTTGCTTTAGAGTGTGTTACTGAATATGTTAAAGCTGTAATGAAATGCTTCTTCTAATCATGTAGTTATTAAAAATTTAAAAACATAAAAAAGAAAGCAAGCTGAGCAAAGGCCAAGGGAGCAAGCTAGTAAGCAGTGTACCTCCATGGTCTGTACTCCAGGTTCCTGCCTTAACTTACATTGATGGTGGACTATGTG